TAGACTGCAGCCACATAGGTAAGCCTATGAATGACGAGGGTGTAAATATAAACTGCCATGGTCATTGTAAAGCCACACCGGTGCACCTTCTTTGTCATGAACAGTGCCCCTGCAAACATATTCCCTTCTCTTTATCAAGTAAACATTAATGGCCCTCGATACAAGGAAAGCCTTTATCATGTAATCTGCGCCCTTTTTTCTAACATGGACTGTGTAAGCTTGTCGCCTTTTGTATACACCATCAACTTAAGGGCCTGTTTGGTTGGTGACCAAAACATACCACGTCTAACCTTCGACAAACTGTGGCTGCCACAGAAAGTGTGGCGAACAAAATCAAAGCCACACTTGTGGCAAGGTTTGGCACGAAAATGAGTCTATGACATGTGGGGCAGAGTGTTAAGAAAGTATGGCGTGCCATAGCTATGACAGTGAACCAAACAGCCGCCGAAGAAAATGTGGCAAGCCAAACCTTTGACGTGGCACGTTTTGGTCACCAATCAAACAGGCCTTAATCCCAAGTTTGTTGCTCCATTTGCGGGTGTTCCATCCCTTATATTCTTAACTTCCACGCATGCACTATCCCTTTTTGCATATGTGCCTTTGCAAGGATTCTCTGTCCTCATGATTCACATCAATTTCAACTCTTTCCTAGATCTATCATACGTTGTTCCCTTGCAACTTCATGTGTCACCTAGACTTAGCAGTGTTGGTACTCGCATCTAATTTCCCTCTCTGCTTTGATCGAACCAATCTATCCTAGAGCCCAAGTCGATACAAAGACTTGCTGAGTTAATCTAAACCCCTCTTGACCAACTCATCTTAAGTAAAATAATAACTCTAGTAATCCCTAGAGATGCCACCCACATACTCCACTAGGATGAGACACGAGATCCCGGACGTGTAATATACAATTCTGTGTGTCGCACTAGTTACCCTGACATAGATAGGTAGGTTGCCTTTACCCCCGAATAATGTAACAAACTATGTAATAAAAATAGTTCACATTTCAATTATATTACATATGTTTATCTAGCTCCCGTGTTCTACAACTCATGGTGACATGGAATAATGGACAATTCACACGAATCAATACAGCGAGCATAAACGTTGTTTCATGTTTTTTCAGTTTATAATTTATATAATGCTACACATTGCATATGAGATGTTTTCTGATTTCATATCTGATTTTACACAAGATGGCCAAAAGGCTGCAAATAGACTTTATGATCCGGTTATTGTCTTTTGATGAAAATTCTAGGACAATTTCAAATACGAATTTGACTTAAATTATCCTAGTATTTTAGAAATACGAATTTGAGTTGATAATGTATTTTTTAGAACTTAGAAGCGTCATGCAGAGTTAATTTATATGGAGAAGTCCATATTAGTTGAAAACCAAATAAATGTTGGATATATGAAAAGTTTGCTAGAAATCTTAGCTAGAAGTTCCAAGAACGAAAAAATTAGAATTTACAGGCATGGTTGTATTATGTTTATGTACAAATATTCAACTCCAGGCTCGACCTTGTACGAGAGAGACAAGACTAAAAATATACTCCTTCTATTCCAAATTATAAGATGTTTTGGATTTTTTAGATACATAGCTTTTGTCATATACTTAAATATACACTATTTTTAGATATATAGTAAAAAATAACGTACCTAAAAAGTCAAAACATCTTTTAATTTAGAATGGAGGGAGTACAAAAGTATATATAGGAAGAAATACAAAAAGACAACTCAGACATCATGAATAAAGTTAAGTGTAGGTTTGAAATTTTGTATTGCAAACAAATATATACTAGAAGTATTATTATAAAATAAATACACAAAAGAATTCTGGAAGGAATACTGCCTTCGTTCACAAGTAAATGACCAATAGCTAATTACAAGTCAAATTTAATGCCTAAAATATGTTTAATTATTATAACCGGAGGTATTAAATTGTAAACAGATAAAATCCACATGGAACACCCCAGTTAAACTCTGATGTGAGCGGAGTAATTAACCTTCTTGTTCTGTCCATCACCACTCGGGTCAGTTCTCCTCCCCCCCTGCCATCAACCTCAAGTACGTCGTTGCACCCGGCCTCGGATCATCACACGTCACCCACCTGCCTCCGCGGCTCAGCTGGATGGGCGCCATGTCCCATCCAACCCCGTCTCCGGAATCTGGACGCCCTCCCGTCCAGGTTCACTCCGCCCCCCTCATCTTCCTTCCTCCCGGTCCCCTCTTCGTTGCCCCCAGATCCCGCAAACCGCGACAAGAAACCGCCTATCAGAGGACGTTGCTCGTTCTCATCGCCCACCTCTGCTCCTCTCTCGTCTCTCGCCAAGCCGACGACCCCGGCGCCATTCGGACCTCACCTCAGCCACCATGGCTTCTTCAAAGAGGAGAGGCGGTGGTGGTGCCGGCGGGGACAAGAAGGATCTATTCCATGTTGTCCACAAGGTGCCCGCCGGCGACAGCCCGTACGTCATAGCCAAGCACCTCCAGGTTACAGTCCTTCCTGCTCTTGCCAATTATTCCTGCCTTTTCTTGACTACTCTAGATTGTAATAACAATACTGCATCGGCATAGCAGTTCCCCTAGCGTTACTGTTAGCTTATGTATATAATACGACACTGCAAATATATTTTGCATCAAAGCAAGTGCCATATGTTTGTTTCTAGGTGCCTCCTTGAGTACTCAGTGCGCTACATGCCGATTCACCTTTGTAGTAGACGCTGTTGTTGCCATAAACCATGTTATGAGTTAGTACGCCCCCTTTTTTTTGGCAAATCCTAGAAGTAAATGTCTTCATAATCACGATATTACAATATCTTAGCGTCTTCGCTTTGTTCGTCGGTAGAAACTTGAAATCGTGTGTTTGCAACTTTATGTCTAGATTGCCTTTTACTTTATATGGATATTGACTCTGATAGTTCTTTTTATTCGGTTCTATGCTTTTAGATACACTGTTCATTGACCCACTCTATTGTACTACTACCATATTGGGCGTCGAGTACATGGTTGTCTGAAACGGGGAGTGGTCCAACGGGTAGTATAAGTTTTTCACTGGTCCAGTAAATGATGTGATTCATGACTGATTATTACAATTAAGTACTTAAACACTTAATTGCGACAGCTTAATTTATGCTTACTATACAGGTTTTTCTCAATTCCATCTAAAACAGCCTTGAGCGCTAATTTGATTGATATATTTTTTCATTGCATGAATCAGCTTGTGGAGAAGCAACCGGATATGGCAATTGTGTGGTTCTGGAAGGCAATCAACTCAGGGGACAGGGTGGACAGTGCCCTGAAGGACATGGCCGTGGTGATGAAGCAGCAGGATCGTTCTGAGGAGGCAATCGAGGCCATCAGATCCTTCAGGCACCTTTGCTCCAACCAGGCTCAGGAGTCCCTTGACAACCTCCTCATTGATCTCTACAAGGTACGCTTTTTTGCCGCTGCAAATCTTTGCACAAGTGCTCAAGAGTTCCTACATTCTAATGTGATGTGGTCACATCTTTCAGAAGTGCGGGAAAATTGAGGAACAGATTGAGCTTCTGAAACAGAAGCTGAAGATGATATACCTTGGTGAGGCCTTCAACGGGAAGGCGACGAAGAAAGCACGATCCCATGGCAAGAAGTTTCAGGTCTCAATCCAACAAGAGACGTCTCGCATTCTGGTACCATTTTGTGCTCCTCTGGTTACTCGTACTTTATTTGCCTGTCGACCAAGTTTTCAGTTGTGCACAGCTAGTCAGCTCACTGAAAATTTTTCCGGTATATGTCACAGGGCAATCTTGGCTGGGCTTACATGCAGCAGAACAACTTCGAAGCCGCCGAATTGGTGTACCGCAAGGCACAAACTATTGAGCCTGATGCCAACAGGGCGTGCAACCTTGGGCTGTGCCTGATTAAGCAGGGCAGGCACGAGGAGGCACGACAAGCACTCGAGGATGTTCAGCTACGTAGAATCTATGGATCAGAAGACGAAAAGGTGGTTGCTCGTGCTGAGCAGCTTCTCCGTGAACTAAACCCATTGAAGTGTGTTTCATCGTCATTCAAAGTTGGCCTCAGTGTCCATGAAGAGATCATGGGTGAAGTAGACCTTGTGATGAATGAGTGGACGCCGTTCAGATCAAGGAGGCTGCCTGTATTTGAGGAGATAGCAACTTTTCGGGACCAAATGGCTTGTTGATGCATTATTCTGCATGGTTTTATCTTGTCTGTGTCATCCCTTCATATACTGGGTGCCGGGGGGTGGGGGCGTGACAGTGAGAAATAGAGATCAGTAGATATCATATAGCTGGGGTTGATGCAAAGCGTTCCCTTTAGGATAGTGTGGTTTTGGTTCATGTTGTATCATTGTATGGTTCAGATTTCCTCAGAACAAATGTTCGTGCATGTCCTGAACTTGTACAGGATTTACAGTTGGCTGTTGTGAACTCATCGCTTCTAATGTTGGCTTGTTCAAAGGAATTTTAATGACTCGGCTTCAAGCATCTTTAAACTACGATTTCAGCTAAGGCAAAGCCAAATCTGACAACAAAGACAGATTAAAATCACTGCATCAGAAATAAAGTACAGCAACTCACAAGAGGTGGATAACTAAGAATCCCCACGATTATTCCTGAACAAAATCCATCACACCTTCCAAAAAAAACCGTATACCTTTCTGACAATCTTTGTCCATCTGCTAATCTGTTTCAAGCTAACTACAAGTTCAGTGTCCAGAACTAGAGGACGAAACCAAAATGAGCTTCCTGAACCCCCGAGGCGATTGAAATTTCAGAGCATTGACAAGAAAGTTCAGCTTCCGTTATGCACTGCTCTAGACTTCTACATTCTATAAACTACAACAAAAATGTTCAGTTCTTGCCGAACTGCCAAATTACTCTCCACCCTTGTCAAAAGGTACCACCAGGTCACGACGTCCCTATGGCCACTGAAGACCATTTGCCGCTGCAGTTACAGGTGATGCACGATGTTAGCAATTGTTTCATAAATGCCTAGAATATGTTCAGGAAAGCCACGAGCTCCAGTAGTAGTAGAGTAGCTGTAGCACCTCTAGATGGCACCAGGACCAGGACAAACTCCATCTCGTCGTTGCCGGGCGGCAGGTCCAGGACGACGGGGAACAGCCTGGGCGCGGCGCCGCCGCTCCGGCGGCAGATGACGAAGTCCTTGTGCTTGGTCTCCTCTTGCAGCCTCCGGCTCAGTGCGGACAGGCTCTGCTCGTCGAACGTGAAGTACCTCCAGGTCCCCTCGTCGAAGTCGTCCACGGCGCCGTCCTCCCTGGCCGTGTTGTGGAAGATGGTGCGCCGCGCCGGCATGTGCGGAGGCTCCTCGATTGATGGCGGCTCCTCGACCTTGGTTTTGGATTCCTGAAAATCATAACGAATTTCTTCTTAGCATTGGATACGAATTGATCAAAACCACAAAGCTCATATAACAAGATCAACAAATGAACCAATTCAGCAGAACACGCTCGTTCAGAGCAGAACGACCAAGAACAAGCTTCAATTACCCAAAAAAACAATCAAGTTAGCGTTATTTTTTACCCCCAAATAACTAATTGCGCGAACAAGCTGGCAATTACGCTAGAATGAATCTTGCGACTCAACAAGAGGTGTTCGTTCTCCAAGAAATCAACCGACGGGAACACGCTTGGAAAAATGCAAGAACCGGAAGCATCAGATAAGGAAAGAACGAAGCAAGGAAACCAATCAGGGTCAGGCTTCTGTTCGGATACCTTGGCGGAGTAGAACCTGACGAAGGAGCTGGACGCGGTGTCCGACGTCGCCGCGGTCGCCTGCATCCGAGCGTCGCAGGACTGGGCGCGGCAGGGCGGCGGGCGCGCCGCCTGCTCCGCGGGGACGGCCTCGACCACCCACGCGCTCTCCTCCGGGCCGACCTCGAAGTCGAGGGTGACGGCGTTGTCCCGCGGCGTCTCCCCGAAGCTGGCGCGGAGGAGGCGGCCGAGTGGCCCGGACAGGGTGAGGCACCCGGCGCCGCCGCGCTCCGCGTCCTCCCGCCGCGGCGTCCAGAGGAAGGCGCTGTCGTTGGGGGTGGACGGCACGCCCTGGACGACCCTGCAGCTGGGCGTGGCGGCGTCGAGCGCCGCGGCCGGGTCCGCGGCGCCGAGGTAGAGCCCGCGCTGGCCCTGCAGCCGGACGTACTCGTCGCCGGCGGGCTCCACGGCCCAGACGGTGCCGCGGGTGTTGCGGCGGTAGCCGTGGGAGACGGCCTCCGCGTCGTCGGCGGCGCAGAGGTACGTGCCGAGGTGGCTCTTCAGCCGCACGGAGCGCGCGTTCTCAAACAACTCCATTGCTGCGTCTGCGTCTGCGTGCGCGCGGTGGACTGATCAAGAATCCAAGAACGGGGTGGCGTTTCTTGATTTGGTGCGCGGAGGGGAAGGGGTGCGCGGAGGGAAGGGAAACGCGGAGGAGGTTCTTGTTTAGGCGGGAGGTAAGGCGGTTGTGGTTTTTGGTCGAGAGGCCAACGGCCGTTGGTCGTTGGATACAGGGTCGATGGCTAGGATTTCAAAAAAAAAAGCATCCTGAACCCCTATAATCGTGTTAAAAGGGCATTAAGAGAATGTAGAAATTAAAAGATTAAAATATACGCTATTATGATTATGATGATCTAATGATTTAAATTTGCTAGAAAAATATAAGATTAGTCGGAAAATTTGATTTTGTGATGACCTAGGTCTAGATTACAAAATAAGTATAGCACGTATAATCTATATTTAAAATACTTTTCTTCATGCATGTGGTGTTTTGAATTAAATAGTGTTCTATCTGTATATAATAGTGAGCAATACATGTGTTCAGATCGTAATCAAGTAATATCGTCATAGAAATTACAATATACTTGTACACTTCGCATGCTTCAATATACCCATATTCAAGAAAGACAAAAAAAAGCAATGAAACCAATAAAAGTTCAAACAAAAGTTATAATAACAAACCATCAAACCATGATTGGGACCACAATTTTATGGTAATTATATTAGTTCATATACTTATCATTTTAAAATTAACTAGAATCATGCGCGTGCGTTGTAATCTCACGGTAATTTGAATCTGAACATGCACCTTTCGTGATGATGTTTTGCAAAGTCAAGATGCTTGTCATCACTCATCAGACAGGGTGACAATCCGCACACAGCAGCGGGGCACACACATAAAACGTTTCTCCCATGCGATTGAGGCTTCTTTTTTTTATAAGAATTTTCAAGTGAATTCCATCGTCACATGTTATGAGACAAAAGATACTCATTCTTTTTAGTAGTTATTTTAGGTAAGTTTTTTAGCTGTGTTCTGGTTACCTTTCTATGTTGGTTTTTTAATATGTTGCTGGGAGCAAGCTCCACAGCCTTTCTTCAAAAAAAAAAACTCATTCTAGCCTCGGTCCGATGCCCGTTTGATCGCTCAAATCCTGGAAATTGTAAATTGTAGATCAAGAATGCATAGTGTACACATGTTTTTTTACCACATAATTCCTCGTAAAGATGTGATGTACTCCCTCTGTTTCTTATTTGTCGTTCTCAGTTCCCGATAAGTTAAACATACTTATTTGGACTAGATTTATAAAATAAAATATTAATGTTTATAGTAACTAATTAGTATCATTAGTAGATGGTTGAATCTATTTTCATAATAAACTTATTTGTAGATAAAAAAAGTTAATAATATTTTTTTATAAATTTAATTAAACTTCTGGCATGATTCTTGTAGCGACACTTAAATAGAGACGGATCGAGTACAACAATATCAACAACAACGATGAAAATTCATTCAATGCATGAGATGTCTTTACACTGTGTACCACCAATCGATTCTTGAACTTCACTACACCTTAATCATCAACACTGAAATGAGGACCACACCCTTCGGCAATTAACTTCTTGATATGCGAAATTTTAGAAATATCTTGCATTTGCTCTATAATAATTTGCTCAAGTAAATTCGAGACTAGAGCAATATGGGCTAACACCTCATAATGGCTAAGAGACAAAGATTTTTCTTCAACTTGATGCGACTTTCGATTTAAGGCATCAGCCACCACATTAGCTTTTCCAGGATGATAATGAACCTCTAGCCATCTCCGTTGCCTCATGTTCAGCTCGGACTGAGTGCAAATATATATGAGACTCTTGTGATCTGTATAAATATGCATTTTATTTCCCAACAAATAATGTCTCCATTTTTTTAGAGCGCGCACTACAGCAGCCAGCTCTAAATTATGGGTGGGATAATTCATCTCCTATTTTTTCAGCTGGCGTGAAGCATAAGATATCACATGTCCATCTTGCATAAGCACGCATCCCGATCTAGTCCTTAAGGCATCACAATACACATCAAATGCCCTGTTAATATCTGGTTGGGCGAGAACAGGAGCAGTGATAAGAAAATGCTTCAGAGCTTGGAAAGCTTCTTCACAAGCCGGACTTCATACAGACTTGACATCTTTCTAGAGCAACTTGGTCATTGGTTGGGCTATTTTGAAGAAGTCGGGAATGAGGGGCCAATAATAACCAGCAAGATCAAGGAACTGACGGATTTGATACACTGATTTTGGAGACTTCCAATTTAACACATCTTGCATCTTGCTTGGGTCCACAGAGATACCCTCAGGTGTCAGAATATGTCTTAAAAATTGCATTCGATCTAACCAAAACTCACATTTACTGAATTTGGCATACAACTTGTGTTCCCTTAATCGAATCAGTACTATCTAAAGATGTTGTGCATGCTCTTCTTTGTTCTTGAAGTATATCAAAATATCATCAACGAACACCACTACAAACTTATCCAACTTCGGCATGAAAACTGAATTCATGAGATACATGAAGAATGCAGGAGCATTAGTGAGACCAAAAGACATGACTAGGTATTTATAAAGCCCATATCTAGTAGAGAAAGTTGTCTTTGGTATATCTTGTGGCCGGATCTTATTTTGATGATACCCAGAACGAAGATCAATCTTTGAAAACACCTTTGCACCAACCAACTGATCGAATAAAGTATCAATACGAGACAATGGATACTTGTTCTTAATGGTTACCACATTGAGAGAGCGGTAATCCACACGCATCCATAGAGTACCGTCCTTCTTCTTCACAAAAATAGCTGGACAATTCCATGGTGAAGAGCTAGGACGGATAAAGCCCTTCTCCAATAATTTCTCTAACTGCTTCTTCATTTCTGCTAGTTCTTTAGGAGCCATGCTGTAGGGACACCGTGAAATAGGAGCAATGCTAGGTTCTAATTCAATAGTAAACTCCACGTCCCTATCTGGGGGGCAACCCAGGTAGATCTTCAAGAAAGACATCCGGAAACTCACAGACCACAGGAATAGAAGCAAAATCAAGAAAAGCTTCAACATGAGCAACAACTGGTAAGGCTGGATCTGAGGGCATAAGGAGAGGCATCCTATCCTCAGAAGAAGGAAGTCGTAACTCAACAACTCTCTGCTTAAGGTTCAAGACTACCCCATAAATTCGCAACCGGTTCATGTCCAGAATTACATATATACCTTGCCTAGGCAGCACCATTAACTGGAGGCGGTAAGTGTGAGTGGCTAGTACTAATATGACTGTGTCCGTCCGAGTATTAACGCATAACTGTGCACCCGGAGTACTGATTCTATAGGCAATAGGAATAGTCATAAGAGATATATTATGCCTTTGTGCAAACCCCATGCTCATGAATGAATGTGATGCACAAGAATCAAACAACACATATGCTGAGTGGGAATCAATGGTAAACATACCATCCATCACAGATTCATTCTACAAAATCTCCTCAGCCTCAGTGAAGTTGACTTGTCCAGAGCGGCTTACGGGCACCTTCTTCTTAATAATCGTCCTCTTGACCAGACGGGAGTTGGCTGAAGGCTGGGAAGAGTGCGCAGGCTGGTTCTGTGGACACTCCCAAGCATAGTGGCCCTTCTTGCCACACTTGAAACAAGCACCCGACTTGTTCCCCTATCCCTAACGAGGTGGAACCTGCTGTCCCTGAGGATGCTGTTGCACCTGCTGAGTAGGTGCACGATACTGGGTGAGAGATGCCTGGTAAGCCTGCTGAGACTGACGGGACGGCTGTCCACCCGGAGAGTGATAGGATATCCTCCTGACAACCTGCACCTTCTGAGCCTGTGGGTGACTAGAAGATCCAGTGACCACCCGCTTACGCTTCCACTCCGCCTGAGAATCACACTGAAGTCTCTCCATAGCAATGGCTGCATTCATTAAAGCACCAAAAGTCTGATATCCCCCAGTGTATAGCTCCTTTTGCAAGATGCAAGAGAGGCTGCGGTAGAAACGATCTCTCTTCTTCTCATCAGTATCTACATGGGTCCCAGCATACTATGCAAGATGGTTGAACTTGTTCACATAATTCATCACAGTCATACTCCCTTGCTTCAGATCTAGAAACTCTGTCAACTTCCTGTTCAGCAAACCAGCAGGAATATAGTACTCATGGAAAGCAATGGTAAACTCCCGCCAAGTCATATGGTGGTCCACAGGCTGCATGGCGTTGAAAGTGTCCCACCAAGCACTGGCAGATTGTAGGGTCGAGATGACGGACTAGAGGGGGTGAATAGTCCTTTCTAAAATTTAATCGCGCCGGCTAACCGAAACAAGTGCGAACTTAAAACAATCGGTCTAGCCAAGACTACACCCCTCTATCTATGTTCTCTAGCATCTTGCAATGATCCTAATTAAGCAACTAAGGTGCCAAGCTAGCTAGAGCTCACCTATCTAATTCTAGAAGCAAGGTCACACAAACCTATGCCACTAGTATTTTGCACACAGTGGAGCTCCTACACAATTCTAGTAAGCAAAAGCACAAAGCTCCTATCCTCACTAGCAATGTTCAATAACAAGACAACCAATGCTAAATTAGAGAGCGCAAATACTTAGCTAAACAAACTAAGCAATGTGACTAACAAGGTTACACAAACTAAATTAGCCACACAAGGGAGCTACATCCATGCTACACAAGTAAGAAGGTAACTAGTGAGCTACACAAGCTAACTAATTGCAAGAGAAACTACACAAGCACAATGTATATAAAAGTAATTACAAGCTTGTATAAGGGGATTGTAAACCAACGGGAAGAACAATGTTGATACGGTGATTTTCTCCTGAGGTTCACGTGCTTGCCAACATGCTACATCCCCGTTGAGACAAGCTCCAAGGTTGCTGCCGGTCCTCTTGCTAGTGGTGACCCGCAAGTCACACTCTCTCACGTGGAGCGCTTACCACAATGTCTAGCACTTGATTCGACCGAACCACTTGTCACCCTTCGCGTCTCG